CTGAAATTTCTAAACGCTGAAAACGTGATTTTCCAAAGGTCTTGGGGATCTAAAAAGCGTTCCAAGTTACGAAAAAATGCGATGTATGATACAGAATAATGTTTTTATTCTGCCATTCAGAAGAGAGGTTTCGACTCCCTCCCTCTTTTGGCCACGCCCCCTTTTTCTGATAATAAACAAATTCGGCTATTTTTTGACCAATCAAACAGTTCTGATTGTTCTGAACCAAATTTGTAAAACAAGGCGAAACAACAACTGAAAACGAATTGAATCTTTATGTTTTTTCATAATTTTTATCGTACATTAAGATGTTTTTCCGAGCGATGGTGATTTCCATCTGAATTGAAATCTCAGAACTGCATCAGTCTGATGAAGTTGGATTCAAATTTAAAAGGGTATTTTTGTCAATGTACGATAGAATTCAGATTAATGAAAACTCGAGTCAAGCGGGTAACACTTCATCTCGTGAACGAATAGATAAACAAGTCTTACCTCAGAGGCTATGAATACACAGTTTTGAACGCACGAGGCCCGACTTCAAGTAGATATCTTTACCTGGGAAAACACTAGCATATGAGTTAGCTATTAAGACGTATATAGCGTGAAAAAACACGAAAATACTCAATTCGTCAGAAACCTTCATCATTTGAGATCTGTGGAATTTGAAAGTACGTCAACGAGATAGTAGTTTGATGCCCACGGAGTTAAAGAAAATTAGTATTATTAAAATATTTTTATAATTGTCAACCGAATTCGCGTTAACACTAATACCCAACTAATCTTACATTCCTAAAATGAAATTCATCCCAATGATGAAGCTTTATGATACCATAAGTGAAGTTTGCTCGCCGATGGTGGTTTCCATCCATCCTCGAGAATCAGGTGATCAAAATCTTGCATCGCCCTGATGAAGTTGAATCCAATACAAACAGGGTATTTTTGTTAATGCATGACGTGAATATGAACACGCAGTTTTCATCGCACGTGTTACCACGTAGTTATATTGAACTGGAAAATTATTATCATATGAGTTAGCTATGGAGAGTCATTTCACGTGAAACAAACGCACGAAAAACTCAATTCGTCAGAAACCTTCATCTTTTAGGATCTGCGAAATTTGAAAGTACCTCAACGAGATGGTAATTTGATGCCCACAGAGTTAAAGAAGTTTAGTGTTATTAAAATATATTTAATTAAACTTCAAATTCGCGGTAGCACTAATTTCATTGCGGTGATTTTACAATTCTCCGGTGATTCAAGCTTTTGTCACGTCAGAATGCAACGTGTGCGTTTTATTGGTTTCAATCAATCGAGGCCAATCTAATAAAAATTTACTTTCAAAAATGTCGACTCGTTAACTTGAATATTCGAGTTGTTAGATCTGTCTGTTTGACTATATTATAATGGGTGGTAGGCTCAAGAAAATGAGTGGAAGTGTTTGAAAAATATAACTCGAGTCACTTCAATACTGTGGTAATCAGGGCTGTCGAAGTTTGATTTGGAATGTTTTCACTTGAGACGAAATCCTGATTTGCCGGAGTCAATAATATCGCTTCAAATACAGGATTTGTAATTTATGTTCTTATCGTTTGGCATCAAAGATAACATTTTCATTCACAGTCAGATTCAATTTTGCAGATCTTGTGGCGCTTTATATTACTGACTTATGCGTAGATAACACATTGTGCATTTGTAGTTGAGCCAAGGTTTAACATAGAGAGACCTGCTCTTAACAAAATTTGAATAGGTTATTGGAATTTTGAGCTCATTTAATCTGAATATTCCATCCACACGTTGTGCTTGTATATGTAGATATATGCTCTTAACACAATTTACAAAATTATTATATTTTTATCTAATCGCAATGCTTGTATATTATATATGCTCTTGTAACAAATCTTGTAAAAATTACTTGAATTTTATGGTTATTCAATCTGCACTGTCATTTATGTGTAATTCGCTGATTTTCAATACTAATGGAATATTATATTCTATGATTCAATTTCCTCCACGTGATATTGTGACGTGTATGTATTTATTAGTTGAACGTGCGTTGAGTTCAATCAGGGCCACTGATTGCAGTTGAAAAAAATTTGCAAAAATTTCATACCACCGGTGGGAATATTTAATGACTACTATTTTATTAGGATAGTAAATGTTAAATGAAAATATTTGATTTGACACTTGCATTACTCAAGTATCTTTCGAGTGATTTACTGTTTTACTAGCCATTGTATATCGTTATCTTTGGAATGAAATGTAAGGGCAGAAACTGCGGTAAAGGTTCGAAGCCAAAACATGCGGTCAAATGATTAAAAAACTGGAATTTTTGTTGTGTATAAATGCATAAATAATGGATAATATATAATCATGCGCCATGTTTTCGCGGAATTAAGTTCACTTTTTTGCAGTGGTCGACAAAAATAGTAGCATAAAATTTTTCAGTCTGTATATGACGCCATAATGTTTATAAATTCCCTAAATAAAAGGCGACGCTGCTGATATGTGCCAAATGCTTTTTATATAACCTTTAGCAGATCGTTGACATTTGGTTATTTCAAATTTACGCGACTACTTGTAGTTTTTATAAAAAGTATCAAAATTCCCAATATATTTCATCGAATAACTTAGTTACATTCAACGCCAATACTCGTTCAGATTACTCGATGCTGTATATACTCTCTGTTTTAATATTTAGTGGTTTTGATTTTGCGCGAATATGAATGAATTTTTTAGTCCGCGTGTTACGTCGTAATGTTTAAAAATCCCCCAAAATAAAGACGACGCTGGTGGTACGCGTCGGTTGCTTTTTATATTACTTTTTAACACATCGTTGGTATTACAATTTTGCACCAATACTTTTGTCGTTCATAAAAAACTATAAAAATATTTCTGCTAATGACACAGTATAATAAGTTAAGTGTTACATTCAAAGCCAAAACAAGATTAAAATTTTTTTCCCAGATTATTCGACTCTGAATATACTTACCGTGCATGAACAGTTAACAAGATTGCGCCTCGTGGAATGGTACTCATTTCAAAATTTTGCAGTTGCGCAAGAGAATATTAAAAAGTAGTTGGCAATTTCAAGAGTCCCCTGCTGCACACTAAAATGTATTTCTGTAACGTTTTGTTCGACAAAAATCGAGCCTCTTCAGACAAGAGTTTACTAAAACTGTAACAAAACTGCTTGTCTGAGGAAGTCTGGTTTCGGTTAGGCGAAACGTTACAGAATACATTTGTGTTAGTGTGCAGCAAAGGCTTTTGAATTCTATACATGTTTATGGTCATGTATATTCCTGCCACAGCATTCCTTGCAATTATTGCACACGGCTCCCATATCGCAAACCGAATGAGGATAGGGAGTTTTAGCCTTGCGTAACCTATACTGATAGCTAAAATATGAGCATAATTTTTTTCAGCGTGTGACGTCATAATGTTTATAAATACCCTGAATTAAAGACGACGCTGCTGATTCGCGCCAGGTGATTTTTATTTAACTTTTGGTATTTTGTGATTTCAACTTAGCGCGACTACTTGGAGTTTTTAAAAAAAGTTTCAAAAATTCCCAATATATTTCTGCAAACAGCTTGATAACATATAAGACTAAAATTATAAAAACGTTGCATTTTCAAACCTTCAAAAGTGATGTAAAAATATATAATCATAGGTTATAGCATGGGTGGGAAACATACGGCCCGCGACGAGATTTGAACGGCCCCTGTCTGTACATCAGTACATTATGATAAATTCAATATGTGTTTTTTGGTCTCTATTTTTTGTAAAGTTTAAAATTTACTTTAAACGCGATTTATAATTTTCTTTCGTTCATTTGCGAATAAATATGTGATTAACATATTGAATACTATTCATGTAATAATCCGGCCCACCGAGGACTTTATTTTCCCACATCTGGCCCGCCGACTAGAGAAGTTGACCATACCCTTGGGCTATAGGATAACGAAAGTACATATATTTAAATTCTATAAGATTTTGAACTCACTGTCAGGACCCTCTAAGGATTGTTGGTTATACCCTGTTCACCCTTTATGTGCGTCATAAAAAACTAATTCTTTTGTAGAAATTTGGTTCCTGACGAGTTATAAGTTACATACGGATGGGTAAACCAATTTTCTATGAGTTCTTTGTGGGCAAAAATTGCTGCCATAAAACGAGAGAAATACCCGGGTGAAATTAATATTCTCTCATGTGGGGCTCGTTAAGGCAGTTGATATTGTCCATGTAGGCCATGCTCGGAAATAAATAAACATAACTGTTCAAGAAAATGCTATAAATCTATTTATCTTCTGTCGTTAACGATCGAAAACTTTTTCCGTTTAATAGTTATGGATGTGTTTGCACAGACAATAACTACAAAATACACTTTAATTTACTGAGTATTGTTTAGTAAGTAAATGACAAGTCGGATATGTGGTGTCATTAGATGAAGTAATTCTGAAAAATAGCTGTTGCAATAAAAACGAGAGATTATATCCGGGGAAATTATTTCTCTCGGATTGAAATAAAACTGACGGTCTCGCAGGAACTCAGGTATTACAAGCTTAGGCTTCGAGGTTAGAGGCTGCTTTTGCTAAGCGTTAAGAGCGGAGTGATTTTAGGCTTCAATTTTTTTAATTTTTAATACAAATTTGGGTATGGTTTATTTATTTAAATACATTAGTATAATTATGCCGGCAGATCTATAGAAGAATAATGTTGTGGTTTGGTTCTATGGGACATTTTTGATTAGTGTATGGGTATAACGTAACAAATTTTTTTAAATATGATAATTATTGATAGATAGTTTGTAATCTTGTACTTATGAAAACTTATCGTGAATAATAATTTATATACCTAAAACGTTAACAAACACTGCAATGAAAATATGATTATTTTTCGATAAAATATTTTGTAATATCTAAGGCGTGTCATAATCAGTAATGTAAAATATAACGTTATATATATATATATATAATTAATAAAATATTTCTATTTTTCAGAAAAATATTATTGAACGTTAACTAAGCAACAAAACAAAATGAAGCTTTTCCGATCTCGCTCAAGCCGAAGAAAAAGGAATGGTGATATTACGGCAACTGACGAATTTACTTTCCACATGCCGTCCCAGTTTGAAGACAGGCGAACTCAATTGGAAATAGAATGCTTTAAAAAACGACGAGAAATCAACAGACCGGAGTCAAAAAACGTTATCCGGAAACATATAAACAGTATTGACAGTTTAAAATCCGACGGGGAATCTGATTATGAGTCCATGCCACGTGTAAATGAAAACGAACTTTGTTCAGCTTTGGATCGATTCAGGTTGCATGACACTTTATCAAGCTCAAGTTCAAATGACAGTAAGTTTTCGAACCAGTCCACACCATCATACACAGGATCAGAAGAAGTAAATTCACGTTTACGAGATACAAGACAACAAGTATTTCCCGATAACTCACCATCGAATTGGACAAGCACAGAAATTCTCTTATTTCCCGAGGAAGAGTGGGCAAGAAACGCTAAGAAAATTCAATGGACGATCAAATTTAGTCGGTAAGTTTCATTTTAATATTGAAATAACCTAAATCTAGAATCTAAATTAGGATTCTCTAAATAGAAAGTTACACTAGATTCGCCCTCGATAAGTCGAGCTACGATGACTCCTCCCCGAACCGCCATCGCAATGTGCTGAGGAATGTAGATTCTAAATTTGGATTTTTTAAATAGAAAGATATGATAAGTCGAATTACGAAGCTTAGCCGCAAACCGCCCAGCAATGTACTGAATTGCCATACACATATATATAGAATAAAAATGGAATTGGTTTAAATTTTTTGTATCACATTGCAGTTATTATAGAACCCTTTTCTGAATTATTCAAACAAGTGATCAGATTTGCACTAATTGAGTTCGGACAAAATGATCGGTGTTTAAAAATTTTGTGAACAGTCTATTTCTACTGGGTAACAAATATAAATTGGTTTTATTGCTGTTTGATAATGGAATTGCCCCTGGTATTGAAAGTCTACCGCTTTATTTAAGAATATAACGGTGCTACGTTGTCCATGAGCATGTAGGGCAAGGCCGACAGTTCAGACTATTGAATAAGAATAAAATTCAACTTTTCTAAACATTATATTTCTTTTACAGATGTTGGGAAAACCTTTGCATTGTCACTGAAAGAAGCGTCGGTGGATTCTTACATGAAATCCGCGGAGGCAAAAGTCATTCGATACGTAGACGGAAGTCTAAGTGTCATCGGTCGATTTCAACGTTAGAAAAACCCAGACTTTGAACTTCATTTATCAACAGCATGCCACAGTGATTTACAGAACGGTTACGTTATGACTGGACATTTGCTTCAAGGAAATTTGAGCCTGTATGATCGTTTAGATATCACACATTTTGCCGCAATAACACGAGAACAATAATTAGAATTGATTGCCAATAATTATAACTTAGGGAATATGTTGTTAATAAGTTCTATATAAAAGAAAACCCGCTCTATACTTTGAATCTCACCACTATTTGAAACATTGGACATGTCGGTCGAAGCCCTTATTTATCACTGGCTACTTGCCTGAAAGCTTTGTTTGAAGTCTGAAAAAAAAATCTCCTACGTTTGATAGGTTTCACAAGCTGTGATGACAATATGTTTCCATGCCCATCTAAATTGAATAACTGTGCAATGACTGTTATTTTTCTTTTTTTTATTTGCAGTAATATGTTGAAATATATTGAATGAACAAATACGACAAGGTTTTTCGTTTGATGTTATTTTTCATTTCTCTGTTTTTCATTTCTTTCCTTTGTTGTTAATATATTTACCAATTGTTTTAAGTTTAAGTTTCATTTTCTTTTTATTCTATTTATTGCTATTTTATGAAATAAAAAATTGATAAAAAAAAAAATATAAATGATATCTTTTCGCCTTCAAATAAGCAATGAGTGAAGTGAAGTAATTTTAGAATCGGGTGAAAGAATTATAAGAAAGATGTGGATATATGACAGAAGAATTGTAGTATTATGGTCATGTTTATTCCTGCTACATCACCGACATAAATACACAGGGGGAGGATGGGCAGTTGGTCGCGCGCAACCCAACTCATAATTACTTGGAAAGAGTGTTGACACTACACAGTAGTCATTATTACCTGTGTATATTAAGTTACCCCCCCCCCCCAAAAAAAAAATGGAACACATTACTCAATTTTGACTTGTGAAAACACACTTGAATTCTAATTGTATTTGAATACACAGAAAGTGGCGTACACATCAGTACAGATGGTTAGTTGAACATATAACACATTTTTATAAGTTACAAATATTTTTATCGATATAATAGCAAACCCCTAATTTCGAAAACACCCTCCTAAAATTAAAAGCTGGGGATCATACTGGTTCACAGTAATCAAGCTTGAATTGGTGAATGAAAAATTAGAGGAAATTTTAATTATCAGTTTCATCGCTTTATCAGTGACTGAAAATTTCATAGAAGTCTAAATTGGACGCTAATCTTGATAATTGTCGTCATTATAAACCGCAAAAATGTTGTCTGGTTTCACCGAATGAACGAATAATTGGGTTTTTTAATATATTGGATTACAACAATTAACACTGCTCAATAACTGAATATTTTTTAAAACATCGGATTTACAGAATAGGATTGACATACTTATCCCGGGGGACAGGGAAGCCGATAAGACGGTCATATGACGAATCACGGCCCCCCGTAACCGACCAGCGATTACGTCAACCACCCTATACAGCGACGAGTCTAGCAATCCTCTCGCACATAATTATCCCGCAAGAGGATTCGATCCTGCGAACCCACGAGTCCTGCGAATCAGAGGTGCAGTGGCGATCATATTCCTAACGCTCAGCAGGATGCGCTTTACCACCGAGCCATAGTTATATTTTTTAGACATGAAAATGCACAGTTGCAGTTATTATGAATAACATTCAATAATACAATCCACCACAAATTTATTTTCTTCGTATTTATCACTAATATTAGTCCCAAAGATGCAATTTTGAGCGTCCGTAAAACAGGAAATTGAGCTAATTTTCATAAAAAATAAAACATACGACCCTTTATTCGACCCAGGTTCTGAATTCCTCGAAATTAAGAAACAATTCACACCGTCAATAATATTCACCGCATATCTACCCGTTTTGCAAGAACGATAAAGAGCGCTTATTTCTGAGCCAAGCCAAGCCCGAGACAAACGTCAAGTTTAAGCGGCAAATCCAGTTCTACCTAACAGCCTTGTTACAACCAATGTTGTACATAAAATGTTTATAAATACATGAATAACGGGCAATATAATTAATGCCGTTCCGCGTTTTCGTGGAATGATGTTCACCTTTAAATATCACAGTGATCGACATAGATAGTAGCATAGAATTTTTCCAGTCTGTGTGTGACGTCATTATTTTTTTTATAAATACCCTAAATGCAAGACGGCGTTGCAGATACGCGCCAGGTGCTTTTTATGTAAGGTTTAACGAATCGTTGTTATTTAGTGATTTCAAATTTGCGCGACTACTTGTAGTTTTTAAAAAAGGTATCAAAATTTCCAATAAATTTCTGCGAACAGCGCAAAAACATTCAAAACTTACAAAATCTCTGAGGTATTTTCCAAATTCATTAAAATTTCTCGCGATCTTGAATATACTCTCCGTGCAAAATGTTAGCAAAATTGCTTTGCGTGGGATTGTGCTCATTTTCAGAAATTTGCAGTTGTGTAATAGCATACTGAAAAGTAGCAAAAAAATTTTCAGTCCGCGTGTCACGTCGTAATGTTAAAAAATACCCTAAATTAAAGACGAGGTTGCTGATGCACGCCAGGTGATTTTAGTGTAACCTTTAACGGGTCATTGATATTTGGTGATTTCAATTTTGCGCGACTACTTGTGGTACTCTCCGTGCAAAATGTTAACAAGATTGCGTTGTGTTGGATGCTGCGCATTTCAAATTTTGCAGTTGTGTAATAGCATACTAAAAAGTAGCAATGCAGTTAGTTTCTCAAACCATTCAGTGTGACGTCGTAATGTTTAAAAATACCCTAAATTAAAGACGAGGTTGCTGATACGGGTCAGTTAATTTCCATGCAACCTTCGACGGATCGTTGATATTTGGTGATTTCAATTTTGCGCGACCACTTGTGGTTTTTATAAAAAGTATCAAAAATTCCCAATAAATTTCGCGAACAGCGCAATACCGTTCAAGACTTAAAAAGTCCCTGAGTTATTTCCCAATTTTATTCATGTTACTTGATCCGGAATATACTCGGTTTTAATTTTTAGTAATTTCGTTTTTGCGTGAGGATTTGCGCAAAAAAAAACTATCGAAATTCCCCAACAAATTTTAACTACTTAATACTCGATCCTTAACCCTCTCCGCTTCAATATTAAACCACTTGGGACTTGACAAGAACTTTGCTGTAATTTCCAGGGTTTATTTGGTTTAGGCAACCGTTGCCAGGTTGTCCGCGAGACGTGACTTGGTTCCTCTTTTTCGATTTTAATATTTAAAGCTTTTGATTTTGCGTATTTGCGCTTTCATTAAAAAACTATAAAGACCTCCAATAATTGGTACGCAACAGCTCAGATACATTCAAAACTGAAACAAAAGCTTCAACTGATTTCCTAATTTATTCATGTTACTTAAACCAGAAAATACTCGGTTTTAATATTTAGTAATTTCGATTTTGCGTGAGGATTTGCGCAAAAAAAAAAAATCGAAATTCCCCAACAAATTTTAACTACTTAATACTCGATCCTTAACCCTCTCCGCTTCAATATTAAACCACTTGGGACTTGACAAGAACTTTGCTGTAATTCCCAGGGTTTATTTGGTTTAGGCAACCGTTGCCAGATAGGTTGTCCACGAGACGTGACTTGGTTCCTCTTTTTCGATTTTCATATTTGAAGATTTTGATTTTGCGTATTTGCGCTTTCATTAAAAAACTATAAAAACCTCTAATAATTGGTACCCAACAGCTCAGATACATTCAAAACTGAAACAAAAGTTCCAACTGATTTCCTAATTTATTCATGTTACTCAAACCAGAATATACTCGGTTTTAATTTTTAGTAATTTTTATTTGGGGTGAGTATTTGCGCTTTCATTCAAAAACAAAAATCCCCAACAAATCTAACAGTTACATTCCAGACTAAATAAAATAAAAGTTCCAAATCTATTTCTCAAATTCATTCACAATACTCAACAGAGAACACTCCTAATTTTATTATTGAATCACTCGGTACAAGAACTTTATTTGTTTTATTGGTAACCGTTGTCAGAAAATTTGGGGCCGTTCAACGAGTGAGACGTGACTTGTTTCTTCTTTTTCGTGTTATCTGGAGTGTCAGAGGTAACACTTGGAAGCTTTATGGCCAACTCGAAGTAAAGCTGTTGAACGCGATTGATAATAGACCACCATGCGACATGGAAATTCGGAGAATCAATTTCGATTAAATTTTCAGTTAGTATTAGATGTATTATTGAATTAAAGATCCTTCAATTGTTATGTTACATACGTTTACACTGATCATGTCTCTTGGTAATTAACTATTGAAACGCAAAAATGTACCAAATTCTGTGTGAGAACCAAATTTGTATTCTGCAGCATATCATATCAATTTTATTACTGCACCATGCCTGAGGTGGTCGAATCTGGTCTCTGACAGGCGGCATCAAATGTGAACTTTCATTTGGGAGATTATACTCGATCGAGTATGGAACCAGAGAAACATTTATCGTCGACTTCAAGAATCTCGTATTTTTTATATCTCCTGCCAATGCTATATTTCTCTACGTTGCCGCTTCTACATCGAACAAATTGTCCATTATAGTTATTATGAAATTACAGATATTGCCTAAATTTACAAACCAATCATTAATTGTTTATCGCCTCATAATTTGAGCAGTCTTCATCTATATAACTATGACGTAACACATAATAACTGATTTCGCGTATCAAATTGTAAGGTTTATATATATATCACTGTAAAATGTATATGCAAGAAACAAAAACAAAACTAAATATACTGTATTTTTATGTCAGTCAAGATTGCCGATTTGATGCAAATGTCGATAAAAATATACAGTGTGAAGCGTTATAGATAAAACATAACTTTTGTGCAAAACGTTCTAGATTTCTGAAACTTTAGGGTACATCCATACACAATAAACAGAAGTTCAATCGAATATTGCCGATTTGATGCAAACGCCGATAAATCTAAGTTGTGGCACAGAGTTGCAAAACGAAGGGCACTTAGATCATTTGCCAAAAAGAACTTTTGTACAAACCGTACATTTTCGGGTACAGCCATACATAACCAAGTGTTGAATAAACTTTCTTCATTTTTGAATGAGTAATTGAAAAATTTATGAGTTTTATTTTTTTTTTTGAGTCACCTTGTATAACGACTCATCATGCCATACCGGTGATAAAAAACCTATTTATAAAAATATCTGCAAATTTTCTAACGGCAAATTTATTACTTCCTTGTATGACTCTAAGAATTAATATCAGCAATTAGTAAAGAGTCACTGGAACATTATTTAACATATAATTTCAACTCAATTAACTTGTTCCATTACGTCAGTAAATCTCTAAGTAATAATTTTTAGAGTTGTAACGCATCACGTCCGAGTCAGATTGGCGTGGTGCTGACTGTCATATTAAGAGTTTTAATTGCTAGTATTAGTATATCATGGCGACAAGAATATTTTCGGTCTCGCGACTAGAGTAGCTAATTGTAAACTTATTTCTTGTTTGGATGACTAAATTCATTTGAAGTC